CGGTGTTGTCAGGGGGTGTGACATATGCAAATGAGTCATGCGAATGAGTTATGCCAATGAGCTCCTGCACCTCTTTTTCTACGAAACGACCCCTGAGTATACATGGAGGCTTCTTCTCTCTGTGTCTCTGTTCAAAAGGAGCATTCCCAACACGCAACCCAGGTCTAAAGAAATACAACCGGGAAGAAGGTGATCACCCAGTTCTGGAGGATGCACAAAGCGGCCCTCACGCCTAAGGCACACAAAGAAAGCACTGTAGCTGCAGAGCACACTTACTCCGAGGTAACGAGAAGCAACCCCTGGGACTGGGATCCCAGCACTTGGCCACTGTCAAGGTGATCGGCCTGTAGTAGAAACACAAGGGCTGTTATACCACCAAGTGCGGTTAAGCTGGGCTCACAGAGAGGTCAGCCATGCGGGCATTTCTCAGCTTCACTCTGCACAGAGGAGAAACCCCACGCAGCATTCCTACCCACAGAAACCTTTTCCGGGTGTGTGGAGAGTGTGATTCCACCTCGATTTCATTACTGGAGCGCACTTATTGTTTGTTTAGGCATTTCCTGCCGGGCTCTCCTTTTCCTCACTTTGGACGCCTTTAGAATGTGTGTGGAAATACAGCAAAGAAGGGAAGAAACAATCAGTGTGGTGTAGTGGTTAAGAGTGCCGGACTAGGGCCTGGGAGATGGAAGTTCGAATCCCTGCTCCGCCACAGAAGCTTGCTGGGTGACCATAGGCCCTCGTGCGCTCTCAGCCTAACCTACCTCGCAGGGGTGTTGCGATGCTTTTAAAAAAATGGAAAAAGATAGAGGGGGGTGCAGTATGATATGAATAGAAACAGAATAGAGCTACTGCAAACTGTGCATATTTCAAACTTGTATTAAATGCAGTAACAATATATCAAACTATGTTTTACAGAAAACTGAAGCCAATGCTTATAAATGATGATGGATGGATGACGAACTCCCCCAGAGTTGATATTCGTTTCGAGGCGTCTTTTTCAAACATCAAACCTCATGCAAGTGTGTCTCCACAAGGTCCGCATTTGATATTGTGATTGAGAACATCTTATGAATCACACCAAAATGTACCGGAATTAAGGAGAAATCCAATTTGGAAGACTTGTGACCTTGTGGAGGTTGGGGATCCCGCCCTGACCTAGATAGCTCAGGCAAGCCCAATCGTGTCAGATCTCAGGAAGCTAAGCAGGGCTGACCCTGCCAAGTAATTGGAAGGGAGGCCTCCATGGAATACCAGGGCTCGGGATGCAGAGGCAGGCTATCAAGCCACCTCTCTGAAAAACAGAATAAAGCTACTGCAAACTGTGGATGGAAGCAGGAGAGGGATGTAAAGTGCTTCAGGTCTCCACTGGGGAGAAGGATGGGGTATAAATGAACTACACATTGTTTATAATGACAACGGCAACAACAATATTAGAGGTTTATAAAATTATGCAGGGCATGGAGACAGCTGACAAAGAGAACTTTTCAACCCTCTCAAAAAATACCAGAACTTGAGGGCATCCACTGAAGCTGACGGGCAGGAGGTTCAGGAAGGACAACAGGAAATACTACTTTACACAGACAGAGAAGAAAATGTGGAATTTGCTGCCAGAGGATGTAGTGGTCACAGGAATAAACAGCTCTAAAAGAGGACTGGATAGATTCATGGAGAGTAAGTCTATCAATGGCTACTAGCCGTGGTGACCGAGGGGAACCTCCACATTCAGAGGCACTAAACCTCTGAATCCCAGAGCCAGGAGGCAATATCAGGGGAAGGCCTTGGCCTCTCTGCCCTGTTGTTGGCCCTCCAGAGGAATTGGGAGGCCCCTGTGTGAGACAGGATGCTGGACTGGATGGACCACTGGTCTGATCCAGCAGGGCTCTTCTGATGTTCTTAGGGCTCTTTTTGTAGCAGGTACTCATTTGCATATTAAGCAACCCTTAATGTAGCCAATCCTCCAAGAGTTTACAGTAGCTCCTGTAAGAAGAGCTCTGTAAGCTCTTGGAGGATTGGCTACATTAGGGGTGTGTGGCCTAATATGCAAAGGAGTTCCTGCTACAAAAAGAGCCCTGACTGCCTTATCCAATCCCAAAGTTACAGAACCCATACAGTGGTGGCCAGATCAGATCACTGGCAAAATTAATTTTGCCAACCTTTTTGGGTTCCGCAGGGCCTGTAAAACAGAATTATCCCTCCAGGCATCCCATTGAAGCAATCTTACTGGGTCGAGTATCAGCTTTTCTGATCGTCATGCCAGGATGCCAGTGCATTACACTGTTTTACAGAATATTTGTATTTTATCTTATGTTTTATATCTATATTGTGAACGGTCCCAAGCCCTGATTGCCTAGAAAGGGGCGGGATAAAAACGGAAAGGAATACATAAATTAAATAAATACATTGTTCACAAGTGAATTTGGAACCCTGGGCTTGCTTTCTTGCCAAATTCAACTGTCCTCCGAACACCCTGAGCCCCCACTGCACACTCAGCATCCCAGGATGAACCCCGATACAGAGGCACAAGGTGGTATCGCTTGAAAGAGAGCACTTGCTCCCATTATTTATGGCCGCTGGGGTTGGGGAACCATCCGTTCTCTAGAGAGGTGCCTTGGGAGAAACAAAAGGGATGCTTACCCCGGCTTGTGCACAATCTCCCTTAGCACACGCACAGCATCATCGTTGCTCATGTTCTCAAAGTTGATATCGTTCACCTGCAAACATTGGTAACGTGTGTGAGCCCCACTGCTGTGAGTAGGTTGGTCTGAGTCAGCCCAACTGAACTATCATCTTTCAGCAGGCAAGTTTCAAGCTCTTGGCTAGGAATGGGCACAAACTGGCTGACGAACTAAAATTCGTCATGAATCTCGGCCGGTTCGTGGTTCACAAAGCAATGTTCACAAACTGAGGAATCGCCACGAACTTCCACGAGTTTTTCGTGCAGTTCATGGCGGTTCACAAAAAGCAGGGGGAAAACCCTGAGCGGAAGGGAGCTCTCTCCACTGCTCAGCTGTTTGGAAACCCTGCTTTCTGCTCCCTGCGAAAAGCCACAGGGAAATGAAAGCAGGGTTTAAAGGGCTCCAAGCCATTTAAACAGACAAATGCTCCAAGCCATTTAAACCAAATAGCTGAATGGTGGAAACCTCTGCTTTCAGCTCCATTAATTGCTGCTTTCTGCTCCCCAACCTAAGTTGACTTGATGGCACATAACAAAGACACAATGGAGTCTTGTGTTTCTATTTCGCTTGCAATATGACATTCCATGGTTACTACTGCCTGGAGTGTAAGAAAATAACATGGGATAAAAGGTAAAGGTTCCCTTGCTCGAAAGCCAGTCGAATCCGACTCTAGGGTTGCCGAAGAGCCAGCACTGTCTGAAGACATTTCCGTGATCATATGGCCAGCATGACTAAACACCAAGGCGCACGGAACGCTGTTACCTTCCCACCGAAGTGGTACCTATTTATCTACTTGCAATTTCTTGCTTTCGAACGGCTAGGTTGGCAGGAGCTGGAACTAGAGGCGGGAGCTCACTCCGTCATGCGGCACCCGGGTCTCGAACTGCTGAACTACCGACCTTCCACAGCCTGCAGTTCAGTGTCTTAACCACTTGAGCCACCGCAGCTCCTTAACGTGGGATAGAAATATTTTAAATACAAATAATCCAACCAACAGAACATCTAATTTGCCCTAGCACATGAGCCCTGGGCTCAACATTCCTTGCTGTCACAGCCAATGCTCCCTCTAAGCTGTGGAGTCTTGTGAGCAAAAATTCTACTTTGTGAGCTACGGGCATTAAAGTTGTGAGCGAGCGATTTGGCTCCTGCATGAATTAGTTTGTTCTGGAGCCATCCTTCCTGAGCTAAGATAAAAATGTGTGAGCCGGAGCTAGCTCACGCTAACTCATCTTAGAGGGAACACTGGTCACAGCTCTGGGAGTAAATAAGATCACCTGCAGGAGCATGTCTCCGGGTTCGATTCTTCCATCAGCTGCCACCGCGCCTCCCTTCATGATGGAGCCAATGTAGATTCCACCGTCGCCACGTTCGTTGCTCTGACCGACAATGGAGATGCCCAAGAAGTTGTATTTCTCTGCAGAAAGGAAGGGGTGGGCCCCGTCATAAGACCACCCAGCCAATGGGAAACAACTAATTACAACCAGCCTTCAAGTCTACCTGACCACTATGGTTACCTTCAGAGGCCCTGCTTCAGGCATCCTCAAGTGAGATTAGGCGGGTAGCGACCCAGGAGACGGCCTTCTCAGTCATAGCACCAAAACTCCGGAACTCTCAGCCCAGGGAGACTTGCCTGTCCTCTTCTGTTGCCGTCTTCCGCCGGCAAGTGAAGACTTTTTAAATTTCATCCCGTGTTCCCTCAGCAAGGCCTCTTTCCTGCCGTACATCTGGAACTGCTGTTTTTATGTTTTTGGTGCATGTTTTAGCTCTGGTTTTAATTGTCTTAATGATGTGTTTTCATTGGACTTCATGGTCTTTTAAGAAGTGATTTCATTATGTATGTTTTAATGTGTCAAGAGCCAGTTTGGTGTAGTGGTTAAGTGCACGGACTCTAATCTGGGAGAACCCGCTTTGATTCCCCACTCCTTCACTTGCACCTGCTGGATGGCCTTGGGCAAGCCGTAGTTCTGATAAGAGCTGTTCATGAAAAAAGAGCAGTTTCTGTCAGAGCTCTCTCAGCCCCACCCACCTCACAGGGCATCTGTCGTGGGGAGGGGAAGGGAAAGGAGTTCGTAAGCCGCTCTGAGACTCCTTTGGGTAGTGAAGGGCGGGGTATAAATCCAATCTCTTCTTCTTCTTCTTTTACCTCACTGGGTGTCTGTTGTGGGGAGGGAAAGGGAAAGGAGTCTGTAAGCCGCTCTGAGACTCCTTCGGGTAGTGAAGGGCGGGGTATAAATCCAATCTCTTCTTCTTCTTTTACCTCACAGGGTGTCTGTTGTGGGGAGGGGAAGGGAAAGGAGTTTGTAAGCCGCTCTGAGACTCCTTCGGGTAGTGAAGGGCGGGGTATGAATCCAATCAATCCTATCTTGATGTATAAATATTGTGAAATCAATAAATAATATTGATCCTTGTGAGTTCCTACAGAAACCCTGTAACCCCTACCATTATTTTTGTTTATCAACGCCAAGATTTTAGCTCTTGTGGCTGTCAGGGCAAACTTGAAAATAATTTCTGCTAAAAGCCTAGGCAGCAGAAGGGAATCGTTCCGCCCACTTCCCATAGTGGCCGTTTTGGGTTTGGCACCAGTTCTTGCGGTAGCCATTTTGGCATGATGCTCATAACCCCCCCCCCCAATTTCCAAAGCTACCCACAGGCTCAAAAAGGTTGGGGATCCCGCCCTGACCTAGACAGCTCAGGCAAGCCCAATCGCATCAGATCTCGGAAGCTAAGCAGGGCTGACCCTGCCAAGTAATTGGAAGGGGGACCTCCAAGGAATACCAGGGCTCCGGATGCAGAGGCAGGTTATCAAGCCACCTCTCTGAAAAACATCCAGTCCCCCAGTAGGGGTTGCCAGAAGTCACCATGACTTCCAGGCATGCAAGCACACACACACATGGCAGAGTCAGGATTCAAAATGATCTAGATAGGCTGGAACAGTGGGCGGAGACAAATAAAATGAATTTCAATAGAGAGAAGTGCAAAGTCCTACACTTAGGTAGAAATAAATCAAAGGCACAGATATAGAATGGGAGGGACTTGGCTTGACAGCAGCCCCTGTGAAAGGGATCTGGGTGTTCTGGTGGATCACAAGCGAAACATGAGCCTGCAGTGCGATGTGGCTGTGAAGAAAGCTAATGCAATCTTAGGATGCATTAACAGAAGCATTGTGTCCAGATCACGGGAGGTGGTAGTTCCGCTCCATTCTGCTATGGTCAGGCCTCACCTGGAGTCCTGTGTCCAGTTTTGGGCACCACATTTTAGGAAGGATGTTGACAAGCTCGAGCGTGTCCAGAAGAGGGCAACCAGGATGGTGAGAGGGTTGGAATCCAAGTCTTACGAGGAAAGGCTGAAAGAGCTGGGTCTGTTTAGCCTGGGAAAGAGAAGGCTTAGAGGGGGCATGATTGCAGTCTTCAAGTATCTGAAGGGCTGCCATGTAGAAGATGGAGCGGATCTATTCTCTCTTCCTCTGGATTGCAAGACTAGGTCTAATGGGTGGAAATGACAAGGGAGTCGTTACCGGCTAAATATCAGGAGAAACTTCCTAACTGTCAGAGTGGTTGAGCAGTGGAACAGTCTGCCTCGAGAGGTGGTGGATGCGCCTTTGCTGGACGTTTTCAAGCGGAGGCTGGACGACCATCTTTCGGGTATGTTGTAGGTATGTAGGGCTACCTTTCAGCTATGCTCCTGCAGAGTGCAGGGGGTTGGACTAGATGACCTGCAAGGTCCCTTCCAACTCTAACATTCTATGATTCTATGTACACACACACACAAATACCCACAAAAGAAAAAAGGTTGGTGACCCCTGGAATAGACAATTGCAGAAGGCTTTTGGTTTTTTTCCTAGACCCAAGTCTATGGAATCCACAGAGTCAGGTACTTTGGGCACCTTGCTCCACCCCTCCCCCGACAGCAGGTTCCCCAAGTTCCACCCCTTTCCCAAAATCTGGGTAGGGGGGCCCCAACCAAGGACCAACGCGCTTCTCCCCGTACTCACCCATGTTGAGGGTGACTGTAATGATGTTCAGCGACATGGTGGAATCCGTGATGCTGCTGAAGGACGAGGACTAGGAGAGGAGAGAAGAGAATGAGACCTCCCCCACTTCTCTCCCTGTCCATTGCCTGGACCTGTTCAAGAGATCTACGGCTTCCGCTGCCTTCGGCCTCTGAACGGTTTTCACAGCCGTTGGCTTGCTGGCAGATCTGTCTCCATGTTGGCAGATCTGCCCCAAGCTGGCCCAATCTTGTCATTTTAGGTAAAGGTAAAGGTTCCCTTGTTCGAAAGCCAGTCGAATCCGACTCTAGGGTTGCAGTGCTCATCTCCGTTTCCAAGCCGAAGAGCCAGCGCTGTCCGAAGACGTTTCCGTGGTCATGTGGCCGGCATGAGTAAACACCAAGGTGCACGGAACGCTGTTACCTTCCCACCGAAGTGGTCCCTATTTATCTACTTGCAATTTCTTGCTTTCGAACTGCTAGGTTGGCAGGAGCTGGAACTAGAGACGGGAGCTCACTCCGTCTTGCGGCACCCAGGTCTCGAACTGCTGAACTACTGACCTTCCACAGCCTGCAGTTCAGCGTCTTAACCACTTGAGCCACCCAGTCCTAATACAGACAAAGAGCAAAGTGTCTGCAAGGTGACCCAGGGCAGTAATCTGGGCCCAAGCCCCTCCCCAGGCATCTCACCCGCTCGATCCGGGGTGCCTTTTGCTTCCGCCGACGCCGCTTGTGCCGTCTCATCAGGCGAGAGGCGCTGCTCTGCTCCGTTGAGCTACTGAACCTGCAAAGGTGGAGGCGAGAGCGAGATGTCAACGTTGTCAGCGGGGAAGGCACCGAAACGCCCACCCCACTTTCAGGGAAACAGTGTGCAGGTTAGAGATGTAAAATTTCCAGAAATTTTGAAGCTCGGGAAAAAACCCGGGTTTTTCCCGTTTTTTTGAGGGGGATAACAGAAATTTTCGGAAAATTGAAAAAAATGCTACATTAGCTCTTCTTTTTTCTATTCCATTTTGAAAGTCATTCTGTTACTTTAGGAACATAAAATATGACTATGGACATTTTTACTTGGCATGAAATTATCACAACTACCATATTAAAAATACAGCGATTCCAGACAATTATTACAAACAGAATACCCACCCACATGCAAAAACAAAACTGAAACCTTTTTCTTTTCTTGTGACAATAGCACCTCCTAAAGGAAGAAATGCATCTTGTTCTTGCATGGGAGAGTTCAGTTTGTAACCTAGGACTTGCTTGTCCGCAGTGCACAGAAATTAGATCAATCTGATACCATACATATTTTTTAGAAATGATCTGGGAAATATTTGAACACCTTGTCTCAAAATATTTTATTCATCATGTTAAAATAAAACGTTCCATAATCATTTTTTTTCTTTTCTTTTCTTCTTTCAATTTTTCCAATTTTCCGGAAAAAAACAAAAAAGGCTTCAGGGGAAAAAACGGGGGGGGGACTTCCCCCGCCCCGAATTTTACCGGTTTTTCCCCAGGCCTTCACATCTCTAGTGCAGGTGGTGCAGGAGAGCTCGCAAAGTGAGACACGGACGCGTGAGCAAGTGGGGTGTAAGCAGGTGCTGGGGATGAAGAAAGCAGGTGCGTGAGAACCCTGCCTGCAACAAGTTAGTCAGCCTTTGTGCATGTTTTGAGAATCTGGATACTCTATACATGGTTCCGTCTACAAGTTGTTGTTATGACACGAACGTCTTCCTTCCACGTTTTCCTTACACCTAGGATACACACCTCATCGAGTTCAGGTTTAGATATACAAGTCAAGTGTTACAAGATGCATGGACTAAAATAGTCTCAAGTATTTTTGAATTTAAATTGAATTTTGAATTTAAATTCCTGGAACAGCTCACAAATTCACGTCACATGCGATGGGGATGACGAAAGGGCATGGGGGAGGTTTAGTGGTGTGCACATGGGGGCCCCTTCGGCACTGTCTGCTCAGGGCCCCTCCCCCCCAACCTGAAACTGGCCCAGTTTCAGCACACTGAGATAGCCTG